AATTTGAAAGTTAACATATTACATTTGGAAAATTTGGAGAAATTCAGTGTTTTACCTTTACAAAAATCTGAAAGTTTACATGTTACGTTTGGGGAGCTTCGATGCTTTACCTTTACAAAAATCTGAAAGTTTCGATGTTACATTCGGAAAGTTAGGAGAAATTTGATGCTTTACTTTTAGAAAAAATCTGAAGGTTTACATGTTACATTTGGAAAATTTGGACAGCTTCGATGCTGTACTTTTTACAAAATTCTGAAAGTTTTCATGTTATATTTGGAAAAGTTTGGAGAAATTCAAAGCTTTACTTTTTACAAAAAATTTAAAGTTTCCATGTCACATCTGAAAAGTTTGGAGAAATTCAATGGTTTACATTTGCAAGTCTGAAACTTTTCATGTTCCATTTGAAAAGTTTGTTCTCTTAAGCATGAAATGTTGAACATGTGTAGTATAGTGGTGAACTTTTTTTTTCGCTTGTTTGCTTTTTCTTTCTTAAGTTATGGCAGGGACTTGCACTATTTTTTGGGTTAATTCGTCCACCATTTTTGAAAATGTTAAAATGCCGCTTTTTTTTTTTGAAAAAATTTGAAATCATAACGGTTTTGATTTTTGAAGTTTTGAAAGTCTTTGGAGATTCTTTCTTTTTGAAAATTTGAATTGTTTCATAGGTGTTTTTATTTAAATACTAAATTGGAAGTCCCAAAACGCTACTTTTACGTCATTTTAAATGTTATATTCTTGTTATCTTCAAAACTTCAAATGTTCTTTTCGAGTTCGATATAATTGATATTTTGGGAGTTGATTTGATTATTTGTTTTGAAATAATTTAAACACTTTTAGACCAATTCACTTGCGGTTTCGCTCTTGGCTTTGCTAATTTTGTTTAAGTGGGTTGGCCTCCTCCTCTTATTTGACTTTGTTTTCTTTCTTGCCAATGGTTAAGTTAAAAATAAGAATTTTTTATTTAATTATTTTCAGAATTGATTCACGCCTTAAAAAAAGGGTAAACAGAGGGGAAGGAACTAAAAGAAAAAATAATGATAATTAGTCTGTTGAGATGACTGAAACCCAAGGGTAAATAGGGTAGAAAACCATTCACTATTTGTTTACATAAGAAGAATAAAATTGTAATTGTAAGAATTGTTGAGAATTGGGAGAAAGTAAGAGCTTAAATGATTCAAGAGATAGGGGCATGAATTGAAAGATCAGTAGGCTATCAATTAGAGCCCCTAAGCATTTGTTAGACTTAAGCCCAATTATTTTAATTAGAATTGAAGCACATTTCATGAACCTTTTTTGCAAAATTATAGGTTTACCCCCTAAGTCTTAAGAGCATGATAGTGACCTAAGTTTGATCTAAAGATGTTCGAGGATTAGTTGGAAAACACTTAATTAAAAGTAGAACACTTTAAAATACTTCAAACTCAAGTTAAAGTGTAGGTTTCCTAGATTTTAGGAGCACACCCTAGGTGAGAGTTCATCTACCTAATTTTCAAATAGATACTAAAGCTAAATACTTGACTCTAATTCATAAGTTAGTTAAAGCAATAGACGGTATATGCACCAGGCTGTGGTTCATGACTGATTCAATTAAATAAAATAATGAAATTCTCATCATAACTTGACCTAAAATGAAACTCAATGCTCCGGGATTTGAGATTTAATCATACACTCAAATCCTCCTGACAATTAGAGACATTCCCAATGTCACATATAAATCACCCCCCTTGGTCCTTTATACGTAACGTTCTGTTTTGTTTTATTTGCTTGTGTTTTCTTTTTACGATTTGTTTCGAGTCTCTGTGGGTCACTTTCAATTTTCCTCGGAGCTTTCCATATGCTACTCCGTCATTTATTTTGTTATACATAAACACATGTTTGTCATGTTAGCTAAATTTCTCTACTATACTTTTACTTGCGACGCTGATCCCATTTACAGGTATAACAATAACAAAAAACTCAGGTACCCAAAGTTTACAGTACATTTATAGTACTTTACTGTATTTTCTTTATTGCTCTTTACGATGTCTTTCCTTTATACTGTTTTTCTTTACCGCACCTTATACTGTTTTTATTTAATGTACTTACTTATAACATAGTTAGTTTATGTATGTTTTAAATTAACTACAAAACCTTTTGGATATAACATGTTTTAGAAGATATACAGTGGTAAGTCACCAAATAACAATATTGTACACTCACATATAAGACAATAAACCTAAAACTATTACTATATGGAGCATGAAGCAACTCTTCAAGGGTAGCATGACCAGGATGTAATAAACGGGGGATGACGATCTACAACAGTACAACAAGTCTAAGACTACTAAACATTTTCCTTAGTTTAAATAACAAATCATAGGACTTCGAAGTAGTTTGCTTAATGCAACGTAAATCCTCACCTTGTTTTTTTAGGCTTTTGCACAACCCTGTTGTGCAATATAAGTCCTACCACTTTTAGGATTCCGAGATTGCCGTACAGTATAGTGTAAATCCTCATATCTTTCTAGGCTTTCTAGGCTATTTGTATGGACAGATATCGTGCGAATATAAGTCTTAAACTCTAAATAAATAGCAGGATTGAAACATTAAATAAATATCATTTTAAAGACATAGAACCAAATAATAAGATAGATGGGAAGTCATCGAGATTCTCCTCATATCCGTGACATCCCCTACTTTTCATTCATTTGGATTCCTTCAAATAACTGTTCATATTTGAGCCACTCCCATTTGACTTTCCCGTGTCCAATCTTGGAAACCTAAACTTTGAAATCTTGAAGACAGAACCACTGCACTTAATCGAGAGTTTTCTTAAGTGACCCCGGTCGTTTAAGATGTAATTAACTATAGAAGCTTGTTTCTATAGGGAACTAAAACTCAATAAAATAAACTCTATTTAATTCTTATATTAGGTAGGAAAATTTATTGGTCATAAATAAAAGGTTTCGCAGGCCAAACGTATGCCATAAAATTCTTTGGTTTGGGTGATTGAGCCTACTACAAGTGATATATTTAGCCTTCAGGATAGTGTATTAGTTGTGGTATCGCACTCAGTCATCCAAACTATCAAATATGTGAGACCTGTTTGGTCTCATTTATTTTAAAATCAAAATATTATTTTTAAATTAAAATTACATTGATATCTATATATACTTAAATTCAAACTTAATCCATTTTCCATAACTCTCGGCCGATATGATCAAGGGCATTGTCAACTTAAAATGAAATCAAAAGCAACAGGGTACATTTATCTTTTTAAGAAAAAATATAAGTTAACCCCTATGCTAGCTTTGCTAAATTTACAATGACCATTCATACTGGAGGCAAATGCTAGTGAACAATGCAATGGACACAAAATTAATGAAAGATGAGAGGCCAATTGCTTAATACTCTAAAGTGGTTCAAGAATCTTAGAACGATCCCATACATAACAATAAAATGGAAGCACAAATGTTTAAAATTGCAAAATTGGATATTGAGACGTTTTTCTTTCGTGAGGAGAGGCGTAAGCCTCAAATTTAAACAATTGCAGAAATTAATAAATATTGTATAAACTATAAAGTGTAAAGTAAGAAATAATACATCAATATTCTATTTTTTTAACGCAATAAAAAATAATCAAACAACATTTTAAGTAAAAAGTAATTAATTGTGTAAAATTAGAAGTAACAAATTAATGTACTAACATCAGATTATGAAATAATATGAGTTATACAAACATAAAACTATTAAAGTAAACTAAGTTAGCAAAATAAATAACTAAAACATCAAAATATAACAATCAAAATAAGTTTAAATTTAATCTTTTTCTCACTCATTCTACCCTCCACTTAAAACAAGAATCTAAGAAGTCGTCAACATTTGAATTTTTTATTTTAAAGTTTTTATTACTCTTATCATCCAAATAGTTTTCATTACTTTATTACGCTAGCTTAATAAATTAATTATTTATGGTTTTATCCTTAATCGTATCTATATTCTCTCATTCTTTATTGTCTTCAATCCTAGTTAGTTTTTTTTTTTTATTTATTGATAATTAGAATTTCAACTACATAAATTTTTATGAATACTTTTTTGTTTAATTTCTTGTTAATTAGTATGTGAGATTTGAATATTAATACAAGAAATATTTTGAAATTATTTTTAATTTTAATTTAAAAAGTTAAAGATAGCCTCAAAATTTGAGCCGTTTTTTAGGGGTGGGGTGCGCCTCAAACTGGGTGAGGCAAATGCCTCACCTTGGGCCAATAAAGTATAAGCCCCATTGAAATTTTTTGCAAAAAATGTTGAAATGGACTCCATATAGCGTAATTTTAAACAGGGGTTGGCACTAAATCAAAGAGTAAAACACATTAGGATGCTCGCCTTTTAGGGTTTTATAAAAAGAGTTCATCAAAATCTTAGTCTTCTACAATTGCCTGTTTAAAGTTAACTTTTTAATTCCCAACCCTGCTATGGTTCCTGCAGCAAGGAAACAAAATCTTTCAACCCCCGGTGTCAAGCATAGAGCGCATATAGTCTAAGTGTGCTCTTTTTCCTTTTTAATCCAAATTGTGTAGTAAATTAGAGTAAAACAATGGCAAGTTGGTAATGTCATGATATTTGAGTTTCTCGCATCACATTACTTTTGCCGAGAATTAGGACGCAACAACAGTAGCAGCAATACAGTTCTGGGCAGACTTCTAAATTCTTATTCATCCATCTAATTTCTCAATATGTTTCTTCATCATCCATTTAATCTCCAAATCATTTGTGTTGAACCTAATTCTAAAGTCAAGTCATCTCATAATCTTATGTATCCCATGCAGGCCACGGATTTCCATTGGAGATATGCTTATAATCAGTGTTTCGTAACGAAACTTGATCCAAGCAGCCAAGGGCTATAAGTTTCAGCGAAGAATAACGTTACATCACTGCTTCACATGCAATATTGCCTCAAAGAACCTTGATAAGAAATCAGAGAAATAATATGAAATGGAAATTATGTAATGTGAACAGACCTCAAAGCTTTAATACCCTTATCCATAAGGTATGCCCGAGTTTCATCATCATCATTTGAACAATTCAGTAACTCCTTCTTTGAATACAGAATGTCATCTCTTAAATTCCCAGCATCAGCACACCTATTGAAAGATACAAGTATAAGTGACCAAGACTTACAGCATAGCACAAAATGTTCCCGATCCATTAGGCATGTATGTCTTTAGAAACAAAATTCCATGAACACATGGCTAAATTATGAAATTGATTCTAGCAAATCGACATGGATAGAAATGATAGTTTTACAGTGAAATGATGAGACAGGAACTTCATTTGGTAAGCATGCATGTCTGAAAAGTGGGCAGAAGCATTCCAGGGCATATATAAAAGACGAAAACTACCGATATCAACTACATGAGCATCCTTTCAGGATCTGAAAAATTCATCTCTATTCTATTGAATATTAGAGTTTATTGAATACTAGAATATTTGCAGTCACAGTGGGGGAGTTTTACATAAAAATATCATACACACAGATAAGTGACTACAACTAACAAGAGATAAGATTTTTACATAAACAAACCTTAGAAGAGAAAACCTGTGAATCCTAGCTCAATTGAAACCATTTCACTATATAAGATGATAGATACAACAATCCATAATTCTATATTGTCAACGAAAGCGGGCTTACAAAATGTGATTTTATTTTATTTTATTTTATTTTGAAAGTGGGGATTTTCCTATGAAGGCGACAGGGGATGTTGTGAAACAAGGAAAGACAAGAAGCTTTGATGTTGGTGTTGTTGATAGGCATGGGCAATGTCAACATCAACAAGGCAATCAAGAAGGGAAATGGAAAACGACGACCAATGGTGATGCTCAATGACAAGCATAAGATGTGATAGATGACGAGCATTGACGGTGATTAAATAGTAAGCTGAGGCAAGTAGAAATTTGGAATTCTCTAATTTCTAGAACCTCTCCTCCCCTTGAATGTGTAGAATCATTGTCTATTACGAATCTTTAAAGGAGGCATTCTAGGTATTCTAGACATTTTTAAAGAGCAAAACATTCTATCAAACCTTTATTTCAGATTTCACGCACTGCATCGAATGTCATTGATCCTAAAAAACATCATTTTAGTCATGTTTTTTCTGATTGAAATTTTGCATTTTGCAAATTAATCTCTTAATTTTAAGAAATTCACTGCACTTATTAAATTATTTTTACTGTCATGAAAAACTCATTTACTAAATCCTAATGAACCCTAACTAAATCCAATGGACCCTAGTCAACTCAATCGACTCTAACTGGACTAAATTGAACCCAAACAAGACCCTTGGCTTGCCTAAACCAAACCAAGTCAACCCAGACATACTCAATTGATCCCCAAACCAAATTGACTCGACCCAACTGAGTCAAAACAATTATCATAGCCCATATAGACAGTAGGACCACATGCAACACTTGATGGCTTTGACCTAAGTTCGTTATATGCATCCTAGTTTATTTTAGTAGTACTTAAAATGATATCAATTTGTTCATATTATTTGCATTGATGCTTAGGCAAGTCCCATGAGGAAGAATCCGCACCACTAATTTCCCCTTGTTAGTTATTTTCATGTCCAATTTTGAGTATGTATGTTCCTAAAAGTGGTAAGGTAGTTTATTCCCATTTGTTAGCAAGCCACCAAGGCCCCTTGAAATTAGTTTATTATTATTATTTTTTTTTATGTGATTTTAAATACATTTATATTTGTTTATTTTGTCCAATTTTGTATTTTCCATTTTTTTCTCATTTTTTGTCATTTTTTATCTCAAATCATTTTTTTGTTTAGCTTTATTTGGCAAGTTTCTCTAAGCCAAAAAGTAAGAATAATAAAAATAAAAAATAAAAGAGCGCAATATAACTTTCTCGTTATCTCAAGAAAGAGAAACATGGTGAAGTGTCACGACTTGGACTGGAGACTTAGAATTTCTAAGGAAAGAATGGATGGTCAGATGATGAAAACATATTTTTTTTTATTTTCATTTTCTATCAATAATAGTTTATAATCCAAATATAAATTGAAAAATAACTAAAAAAAATAATTGAATTAACAAATATAAGTTTATCTTTTTGTTTGTAAATTTCGCTTTTCGTGCACATTGTCATTTTAGTACTCACTTATATTCAAAAGCATAAACTTAAAACTTATTAAAACAACATAATTAATTATCCAAGATAGCCTGGTAGATTAATCACACTTCTAAACTACAATGAATCAAAAATATATATATATATACACCATTCTTTCATATTTAATTATAAAAAATTATCTAATAATCTAATATAAGTATCTATGATATTTGCTTAATGAAAATAATCTAGAATTTGATATGCATTAATTTAGCTTTAATTTTTAAAGTTTAATTTTTTAATTTTAGTATGCCTCATACTTTAACTTTCACATTTATCTTAAAAGCACTGATACATACCCCGTCGACATAGCGAGGCACAAAACATGTACACTATTGTCTGAGGTGGAAAGGTATTTACTCATCCATGGCTGATGCTCTCTCGTCAGCACAACAGTTAATGATCTAAATTTCACAATTAAATGAGATGGTATGGTACTCACTTTTGCTAACACTCTCATATCGACAGAATAATTAATAATCTAAATTTCACAATTACCTGAGATGGTAAAAATGCATTTTCGCGCTCAAATACATTAACATCTCCACCCAGTACCATAAGGGGTAAACTCTTCTTAGCATGCACATATTAGCACACATATATAAAATATTTCCATACTTTATAGCATACATTATTTTCTTATGCAACACTTTCCATTCACTTACTAATGAATAATGTACGTTTACTAAAATCTAAAGGCATGTGCTAAATTTGTGACCTGAATTTTGTGGGTTCCGCTTATCATCTCATAAAGAAATTATGATCATGTAGATTGAGGCTCTAGAAGGAAAATGTAAGCACACAAATTGAAAGTTTTGACCATTAAATCAAGCTTATAATAACACTTAGATTGCAATTCATATGCTAATGCTTTATTGACTCTCTTTTAATTATTTTATTTAAAAGAAATTTGCTAAGACTATAAATAAACCTATTTTATTTTTTATAAAACACTCTTCACTTATAATCTCTTATTTGATATAGTGAATTCTCCTCATCAACCCACGATTTTTTCCATCTTGAGTTTTTCACGTAAAATTTGTGTTTTTTCCTTTGTTTATTTTATAATCTATTCCATCAATTAATATCAAGTTGTAGCAAGTGATATCAGAGTGATGTTTGATTTCGACGATGGCAACAGTAACGTACATCTCTCTATTAGATCACAAGACCAGATTTTCTCTTTGATAGATTAAGAAGTGAGCAGTCTTAATGCAGATGGATCTAGACGATGCACTAATTAGGTTCGAAAAGATGTCCTCATCGTGGATGCGGGAAGAGAAGCAATGTAAAGATCAAAAGACTCTTTCTCAAATTCATCTACATCTATCAGATTCTACAGGATGTTTTGCAGAAAACGTTACGTTGTGGCTCAAATTAGAGCAATTGTGCATGACTAAAAGTCTAACCAGTAAGTTGCACTTGAAGCAGCATTTTTACTCCCATAAAATGACAGAAGGTGCATTTGTTATAGATAACTAAATTGTTTTTAATAAAATTGTCTCTGATATGGAAGCCATCGAGTTAAGTATTGATGTGGTATTTTATGAATAATAACGTTAAGCACTTAATGTTGAGATTCTACGCAAGTATACGTATCGTTATAAAGTAATATAAGACTTTCTATTTAAGTCCCAAATATCGATCATACGAGGAAGATTTAAATTAGAGATGATAAATTAAATAGAAAATTCACATAAATACAACGAAATTACTGTCACTAATTTTGAATGTTTTAAAAATCATCAAAACTAAATTATTAATAACTAACAAAATTTAAATGCAAAGTTTAAAGTAGTAACTACTAAACTATGTTTATGTGATGAAGTTTTCTTATATGAAAAATATATTTTCCACTACAATGAGTTTTTGGTGAAATGAGATGAGATAAATTATTTAGATTTGTATTGTGTCAAATAGGAGTTAATTTTTTAATTTTCTACCCTGATTCAGTATTATAGAAAATTATTGACTAATCCTAGGTTTAGTCACTAAATCCGTGGCTAGTCTAGGAAGATACTGGCTCCCACTCCAGAGCTCTCACTTCCCTTCCCCTGAAGGCTAACTCTCGTTTTAGTTCTTAAACACTAAGATCGAATTGGGGATTTTAGTCTGTCACACCAAAAATCTCCAATTTTACACCCAACAATGTATATTTCTTTATTTATTTGCACTTAATTACATGAACAAAATACTTCTTCATTGACTTAAATGTGATTCTCACTCTGCTGTAGAACTCATACTCCATTCTCCGGATCATATGTTTCACAACATATTTTAACAATTCAATTGATCAGATCGAAAAGTAAATTAAGAGCGGAGTTGAAAAATCATCACAATTTATTTTATATTTTAACATTGGCACGTCTAAATTATCTTTTCATTTCACCATATGTCAGAGTAAGGAGAAAGATAAAGGAAACTACTCAAACTTCATGAGAAAGATATAACAAAACACAAATTTCATATATAAAAGGAAGTTCATATAACAATAATAAACAATCAACACTTATCTGAAACTCTTTTTCAAAGCAAATCCCTTGTAGCCTCTCTTAGAAAATGTAGGAAGAAGAAATTTCTCACTTCTCTCCCTCTCCAACACTCTTAGAGTGTAATTCACACTTAAACTCACCACAAAAACTCAAAACTATAAAGAAAAAAAATCATTAATGGTGTGGAATGACGTAGAAAGAAGTAAAGTGGCACGAAAGGGGGCGAAGAAAGACCAAGAGCGAGCGGAGGAGTGCGAAGAGCTGCGAAGGGCCTCTTTTCTGATCAATTTCGGCTCTAAATAGAGTCTAAGGTCGGCTTTCTAATAGGTGCATCCAAAAATTCTTCAAAAAGCGTCTAAATTCGTCGAATCTTCTAGAAACAGGGTCTGCACCGATACTGGCGTCGTCGGCGCCAGTGACCATTTAATTAAATCTGTGTTCTCTGTCAAACGGCGCCGTCGGTGCCCATTTT